GGGTGGGGCTCTGATATAAAAGAGGGGCTTCTGATGTGAAAGGGAGGGGGGTCCTAATTTGAAGGGGGCACTTCGATGTGAAGGGGGAAACTACATTTTGTGTGTTTTTGCATGGGTTCAGGGGGACTTTCAAGTAGAGTAGCCAAGGCGTGTCGGGTAGCCAGTAGAGTGACATTGTCAGTAAATGGACCTCCATTCCATGTTATAATTGCACAAAAATGTCACTGGTTGTAGCTAGCTTGTGTATTTGGGATCTCCTGTTTTTATATAATTAAAGGAGAACTATGGGGTCAGTGCTTTTCCCCATAGTTCTCCTCAGGGTCACGGGAGAACATATACCAGCATCCTCCCGTGACCCAAAGCTCACTATATAGGGAGCTACAGCTTACGGTATACTGAGACCGCCGCAGCCGGGACGGATCCCCGACATTACTGTCGAGATCCACCCAGCTGCGTGATTGACAGCTGGCTCTGCCTATCTAGAGGCAGAGCCAGCTGTACCCGCCCCCTCCCCTGTCCGTTCCTCTAGTCAGCGCTGGAGGATCAGACAGGGGAGGGGCGGAATCCCTGTAGGGAGCCGTGAGTGACAGTCACGGCTCTCTGCAGGGACAGGATCGAGAAGTGAGCGAGCGACGGTATGTGCTCCCGATCTATTGAGCCGACGTGTGACAGTTCCATTGTCACACGTCGGCTCGAACTATGAGGATGAGTGAAAATCACCCACCTCATAGTTCTCCTTTAAATAATCCTTATGTTACTCTTTTAACTATTTTGTTTCTAGCTATCCATATGTAAAGTAACCAAGTTATTGGCATCTTTTGAAGTATCATACTGGTATCTGGACAGTCTGGCCAGGTAGAGGGACATATTGGGCAATACATTGAAGGTCTGTAGTGATAAAAGAACGCTGTTCTAAACTCTGTTCCTTCTCTCGTGGTTTATACTATATAGAAGAAAATACTGCAAAAATAACAGGTAGCACTACACAGCACAAATATTCCATTAGGCGTAAACAGATCCATCTCCCGGTAGCATTTCATGCCATGTTCACATCCCATTTCAGAATTGAGATGTATGGTGATAGACCAGATAAATAAATTAGGCTGAGGTGGTATCGGAAACTAAAGCTGTAACAAAGGGAAACACAATGGATTTCTAAACTGAATACCTTACAACCTAAAAAGGTTTAACATTGGTCTGGATTTATATTTGTTCTTATGACTGGGGAACGTTTTTTTTTAACATTCATTCTTTTTATTACAGATATTCCCAGTGTGGGACTGATTCACGTGACGCTTTTGTGGCCTGACTGACATCAAAAAATGTAATGGCGCTGGCTCTATTATAGGATTTCTTTGCATCTTTTTATTTAATGTATTTATTTATGAAGCATTGCAGATGTCCAATGTTGTTCCTTTCATGTCGTCACTTCTGGGTTCTGCACACGTAGACATCATTACTTAGCTGGGTGGTAGGTTTGCGGTTGGTCTAAAACTGTTGCGCCTTCAGAGTATAGTTCTGAAATTCATTTCTAAATTAAAAAAATATGGTTGTTGTTGCTCTCTCTCTCTCGGTGCAATCCACTTTTTGAACGTCTTGAGCAGGGGTAGCCAAACTCCGGCCCTCCAGCTGTGGTAAAACTACCAATCCCATGAGGCATTGCAAGATTCCCACAGCCACAGGCATGACACCCAGAGACAGATGCATCATGGGATTTGTAGTTTCAGCACAGCTGGAGGGCCGGAGTTTGGTTACCCCTGGTCTTGAGAGATGTTTCAGTTCTTTATAGTAGCCGGATGGGATGGTGGTCATTATTTAGCTGCATCATGTATAACCAATAACTCCATGATTATTGGCAGGGCCATGGATAGGGGGGTACAGCCAGCCCTCTCCTACTGATGCGTCAAACAGCCAACGTTTCGGGGGCCACGCAGGGTCCCTTCTTCTAGCGATGTCATAGTGACGTCACTATGTCGCCCAGAAGAAGGAACCCTTCATGAGACGAAACGTTGGCTGTTTGACGCATGTGACGATTTAATAAAAAGTGCTTTATCATCGAGTGCTGGTGACTTCTATTATGGACTGCATCTGACACGGCGCCATCCGTGTTGTCACTTCAACCACCAACCTCTCATCCAAGGTCTGCACGCTGTATGGAGTGCAGGTGATTTCCTATTATGTATTCCAGGGGAGGTTGCTTGGTTACAGGAACACTACTCTCCAGGAGGTGAAAGGGAGCCAGTGGTCCTAAATAGTATCCAATGGGAGCCTGCAGTGGACAATAGAGCTGTCTGAGGTGTGCCTCCAGCCAGTGAGAGTAGGGTGGGCATGACCAGACAGAACAAGGAGATCACTCTTGGGTCTGGCGCTGTGAGGGGCCAGCAAAGGGGGCATGTTTGTCAGCTGGCTCCTAAAGGAAACAGGGAAAGGGGGCATAGGAGAAGGAGGAACCCGCATAGGGGGGTTATTGGAGGGGACACTGTCAGGTAGTCTGTATGGGGCCCCATCATTTTGAATGGCGGCCCTGATTATAGAGCTGCAGTTTGGACCAGTGGCATAAACGAACAAAGATTGAAATAAATATTTTCTCTTGCCCATCCTTTAATTTTAGCCAGAACCCCTGCATCTTCCCAACACAAAACCCTTAAAGGAGAACTATGAGGGGGGTGCTTTTCACTCACCTCATAGTCACAGGTCGGCTCAGTAGATCGGGAAGTGAGCAAACAGAAAAACCAAAACGTTGCATACACAGGGAATGGTTAAACGACTTTAGAGTTACTTTGTGTTGTTTGTGCCCAAATCAGGAATTTTCACTTTACTTCCTGTCCTGGAGACACAACAGGGAAAATACAAGGAAATCTCTCCAAAGGGAACCGAGATATAATAGCAACAGGTGTCCCCATAGGGGGATTTTCCATCACTTCTTGCTCTGATGACCACTCAAAATGCTTTGATCTCCCTTCACTTTCTATCTTGATGACAATGGTCATTAGCAGGGCCTGAGGCTGTTGCTTCAGGGTGCATCTCTTTGGGTCACGGGGAAGGGGGGGCCTGCATCCCCCTGTGCAATCCAGCCAGAGTGTCCCAGGTTGCTAAAAGATCTTAGCAACCTGGGACACTCTGGCCGGCGTCCTGCCCAGCTCCTGGCAACCAGTGACATCACTGGTTGCCAGGAGCTACAAATAGTGAGGGTGAATCTCCCCAGCGGGGACATAGACACCAATTAAAACTTCACAGAGGGTCTACTCTTTCTCTACTTTATCTGAAACTAAAAAAAATGGCTTCACATACACTTTAAAACACCTTTAGTGATTTGTTGATCCGACATGCACCAGATCAGCAATATTTAAGCCTGATATGTAGGAAACAAGTTTTCATTGGGTCACTCTGTGGCACTATACCTTGATGGCTCCTGATGATATTTGGACCTCATGAAGTTTTCTCATGGTTCCATCCCTGTCTACGAAATAAGATGATGCCAAATGATGCAACGACTCTACACTCTGAGTTCCATTCCCAATGTGCCGATCCAGTCGACCTTTGTCCATGTACATGGTCAACGCTTCTTCACCTGCAAAGAGACAAAGCGCAGTAGATGAAAGCATCTGTGTAGATGTACAACTATTACATATTCATATTTTCATCCTACGATGGTTAAGTCCCTTTTGATTACTTTTCTGGTCTATCTAAATCTGAACGCAGCTTCTGGTTGTTTTTTTTCTTTTTAATTAAGATGATAAAACACATCAGTAGTATTTACAGAAGAAGAGCTGTATCTGTATTTATAATGAAGAATATTTCATCTCAAAGGGCACAAAATGTCTATTCTAATATTAGGACTCGTTCACACCACATCGCTTACGTCAAGCCACCCAAAACATGCGCTGACAGTGCTGTGTTACAATATTTAAGATGTTGTGATGCTGTAATGTGGATTTTGTTTTATTATCAGGCTTAGGCCCCTTCCCCACCCTGCAATCTGGAGGAGATCTCTGCATGGATCTCCTCCTGAGTGGAACGGTGACATCAATCTCCATGCAGTTTTTTCCCTCCATCTTCTGATGGATGATCCAGCTGCCCATAGACTATCAATGGGCTTCCAGTGAGCTTCCAATAGACTATCAATGGGCTTCCAATAGACTATCAATGGGCTTCTTGAATGATGGGACAGCCTGCGTGAAAGGGGCTTGAAGCACACGGATTGTGATAAAATTAACATGTTCCATTTGTTTTCCCATGAGCACCAATGCAGAGCATAGATCTGAGCTAGGACCACTGAAAACAAGGCTACTTGCTTTGTTCTTGCATTAGGACTGCATGGAGCAAAGCAGGCTGAGGCAGATGTGGGCCACGAGATGACTTTGTTGGGCCGCCTCGTGACTCCACGAGATGTTGAAAGGTGATGCGAGGAATCTGACACGGCACTGTTGCCCTTCTGTTGTCTTGTACCAGTCTTGCCCCTCCCCCGTTCTGCCCTAACATTGACTAGTCGCTGACGGCCACAATTCGCACGTTCAGACCCAGATTTTCGGCTGACAGTCCGGTCTTTAAACACTTTAACAATGAGCGGCTCCTGAACATGTAACGGGTTCTGCTGTTTTGCTGATACTCGCTCCATGGCTCCGAGCGCCAACAATCATCCTGCGTTCAAAGGCTGTTACATCGCGTTGTTTCCCCGAATCTTCCCAATCACTTCTGCTGTCGTGGTAACCAACCCGCTTCCCTATTTATAATGGTCCGGCCCTCTAGCAACTTCAGCGCCAAATTATAGCTAATTTGCCTACAAACGTCAGGTGGTCATAATAATCCGGCCACTCTGTGTATATAATAATCCGGCCACTCGGTGTATATAATAATCCGGCCACTCGGTGTATATAATAATCTGGCCACTCGGTGTATATAATAATCCGGCCACTCAGTGTATATAATAATCTGCCCTCTCAGTGTATATAATAATCCGACCACTCGGTGTATATAATAATCCGGCCACTCAGTGTATATAATAATCCGGCCACTCGGTGTATATAATAATCCGGCCACTCAGTGTATATGACAACCACCAAACATTTATACCTTTGACAACCTTGTAGTCAAAAATGAACTGATCCGATAACAATACTGTATTTTACTCCTAACAAAACCCAAAGATATAAAGCATATTACAATGATCCCTTGATAGAGAAAATATGCATGGCTGTTTTGAAAAGGGAATTGAATTAGTAGGTGTTGTATGTTTCCTGATGTGCAGAGTATCTGTTCTTCACAAGAGACCTGCGAAAAAAAATATATTGGGCTGTGTGATGCTCCCTGGTCCGTGCCATCTGGGGTGCCTCTCTGGTGCCAAATCTCTACGCTAGGTGGATGATGTGTATACGAATGAAAACAAAATCCACAGCAGAGCAGAAGTGACAGATGGAAAGAGTTTGAGGCGGTAATAAAATAATTACATGCACGTGTACTCGTGACACAGTGTAGGCACTGCTAAGATCCATTAGTAGAGTGGTGAGAAATGAGCTATTTAAAGGATCATTTTTGGTATTACCAAAACAAGTCGTTATTGTCCTGGAATAAATAAAGCTGAACTCCAGGTGAACAGACAAAATACACTGCCTGGCTCCAAAAGTCACACACTCTAATATTTCTTTGGACCGCCTTTAGCTTTGAATACGGCACACATTCCCCTTGGCATTGTTTCCATGAGCTTATGCAATGTCACAACATTTATTTCCATCCATAGTTGCATTCATTTTTCACCAAGATCTTGTAGTGATGATGGGAGAGTCAGACCACTGCATAAAGTCTTCTCCAGCACATCCCAAAGATTCTCAATTGGGTTCAGGTCTGGACTCTGTGGTGGCAAATCCATGTGTGACAATGATGTCTCATGCTCCCTTTACCACTCTTTCGCAATCTGAGCCCGGTGAATCCCGGCATTGTCATCTTGGAATATGCCCAATGTGCCATCAGGGAAGAAAAATATCAATTGATGGAAAAACCTGGTCATTCAGTATATTCAGGTAGGCAGCTGACCTCATTTTTTGGGGACAAAACCTTGTTGAACGTAGACCTGTTATCCAATGGAAGGCTGAGACCTATTTGCTTAGCTAAATCCAGGTGGTGACCTTTTCATTGGACAGGCAGTGTAATACCTGGTGATGCTACCATAAGGAGCCTTTTTCCGGCACTTCCCATCATAGGATGAACCAAACTAGGGTTCCTTCACCCTACAACCCTACATCACTTCAGAACATAGCAGTGAAGGAGGGTGGAACCATAGACTGTAGCAGAGTATACTTGTGTATTGATTCTAGCGAGTCTAAAAATCAGGCTGTTAAAGTTGTGCTTATCATAAGGGTCTTCAAGGGTGGCCGATCCATGTGTGAAAATGATGTCTCATGCTCCCTGAACCACTCTTTCACAATCTGAGCCCGATGAATCCTGGCATTGTCATCTTGGAATATGCCCAATGTGCCATCAGGGAAGAAAAAAATCCATTGATGGAAAAACCTGGTTATTCAGTATACTCAGGTAGGCAGCTGACCTAATTTTTTGAGGACAAAACCTTGCTGAACCTAGACCTAATATCCAATGGAAGACCACACTAGGGTTCCTTCACCCTACAACCCTACATCACTTCAGCACATAGCATTGAAGGAGGGTGGAACCATAGACTGTAGCAGAGTATACTTGTGTATTGATTCTAGCGAGTCTAAAAATCAGGCTGTTAAAGTTGTGCTTATCATAAGGGTCTTGAAGGGTGGCCAATCCATGTGTGAAAATGATGTCTCATGCTCCCTGAACCACTCTTTCACAATCTGAGCCCCATGAATCCTGGCATTGTCATCTTGGAATATGCCCAACGTGCCATCAGGGAAGAAAAAAACCATGGTGTAAAGTCTTCTCCAGCACATCCTAAAAATTCTCAATGGGGGTAAGGTCTGGACTCTGTGGTGGCCAACCCATGTATGAAAATGCTGTCTCATGCTCACTGATCCACACTTTCACAATTTGAGCTCAATTAATCCTGCCATTGTGTTCTTGGAATATGCCCAATGTGCCATCAGGGAAGAAAAAAATCCATTGATGGAAACATCTGGTCATTCAGTATATTCAGGTCGGCAGCTGACCTCATTTTTTGAGGACAAAACCTTGCTGAACCTAGACCTAATATCCAATGGAAGACCACACTAGGGTTCCTTCACCCTACAACCCTACATCACTTCAGCACATAGCAGTGAAGGAGGGTGGAACCATAGACTGTAGCAGAGTATGCTTATATATTGGTTCTAGTGAGTCTAGGTTGTGCTCATCATAAGGGTCTTGAAGGGTGGCCAATCCATGTGTGACAATGATGTCTCATGCTCCCTGAACCACACTTTCACAATTTGAGCCCGATGAATCCTGGCATTGTCATCTTGGAATATGCCCAATGTGCCATCAGGGAAGAAAAAAACCATGGTGTAAAGTCTTCTCTAGCACATCCCAAAGATTATGAATGGGGTTAAGGTCTGGACTCTGTGGTGGCCAATCCATGTGTGAAAATGATGTCCTATGCTCCCTGAACCTCTCTTTTACAATCTGAGCAAGATGATGTCATCTTGGAATATGCCCAATGTGCCATCAGGGAAGAAAAAAACCCATTGATGGAAACACCTGGTCATTCAGCATATCCAGGTAGGCAGGTGACCTCATTCGTTGGGCACATAACGTTGCTGAACCTAGACCTGGCCAACTGAAGCAACCCCAGATCATAAAAATGCCCAACATGCTTCTCGCATCATACTTGATTGGCTCCGTATGTTGCTTCTCTACGCTTTCCCTGAGCTCTTCCATCCAGGGACTCCTAACGGTTGATCCCAAACCCAATGATGTCATAATATACAGCAACAGTATCAATTTTCATCAAAGCTCCATCCTTTATTAATAAAAATCCCCCCTTCAGCTGCACTCAGACTTCTTATTACTTTGTGTCTGTTCACACTGACTAAGTCTACGCCGTCTCCTTGCCCTTTAACACATCCATCCCAGCAGAGTAATAAACTTTTAACATGGCGTGTCATTTATTATCCAGCTGCAGAATAACATTAGCATAAATTAACAATCCTCCAAATAATCATTTCAAACGACCGATTTAATTATTTCTCCCCACAGGTGTTCCGACCTACAACTGCCTGCAACATATGACGCTGCAAAATTCCGCAGGCGACGCGCGAGGGAGGCTCGGGCGCCATCGAGGTGAAGGTGCTGAGGCAGGCACACGATGAAGAGGGACATTCCTGTTATTTATCGTTTTAATATATGTTTTATCACTCATTTCATACCAAAACGTTTATCGATTTATATTCTAATTTGACTAAATGTATATCAGTTTATAGAGTTTATACCTGTTCAGACATTTAAATAGAACATATTCCTTAAAGGAGAACTATGAGGGGGGGGGGGCTTTCCACTCACCTCATAGTTCTAGCCGACCTGTGACAATGACACTGCCACAGGTCGGCTCAGTAGATCGGGAGGTGAGCGAACACATACCGGCGTTCGCTCACCTCTCGATCCTGTCACGGCTCTCTG